CGCGGTCATCGCCGGCGACGAGGCTGGAGTGGGGGACGGCGAAGGCGAGGAGGAGGGTGATAGGTGGAGACGGCGAGCAGGGGGAGATATCCTGGCAGGGAGGGGGTGGGTCGGGTCGGCCGACCGATCGGGCAACGGGCTGGCTCGCGGACGACCTCGGAACGCCCCGGGTTTTGCACGGCCTGCAGTCGAACCGTTGTGAACTTGGGTTGAAGCTCCACCCAGCCGAACGTACCGGTAACCGTGGCCAAGTTCCAACCCGACGCGTGTAAGGGCAACTCCAACAATGTATCTGAAGGTTTGAGCGTTAGTGCCATCTCCCGTTTATCGCTTTCTAAGAAAGAAAGGCGATCTCGCCTCCAGCCGCCAGGGCGCTTTTCTGGGGGGCTTCTCTTCACCGGCAATCTCGGTCGTCGGTAGTAAGAAGGAGTCGCCGGATCCACGTGTGTGGATTGTTTTAGCCATTGAAGCTTAGGGTTTTGAGTTGTTCATCGTCTTGACTTCGGCTGTGGCGATGGCGGCGTCGACTAATAAATTTTCAGATCCTTCCCTAACGAGGCGATCCGCTTTTGGGGTGGATTTGGAAACCAATCTATTCAAGTAAGATGATGCGGCGGCGGCATCCACGTGGTCGATTTGTGTCCTCGGGATTCGCCATTGCGACGGCGTTTGCTCCAGCGCGGGCGCGGAGCTTAGGAGGTAGTTCAGGAGTGGATGCAGATTGTGGCCTGCATCGGCGGTATCTGGAAGATGGTGGATCGTTTGCTGGGTTCGTGGTTCGTGGCAGGCAGTATGGTTTCCTCCTCCAATGTCTCAGTCGTGTGGGGGTGCCAGATCTGGAGTTTGATGACGTATCCGGGGCGTTGTCTCGGTCTAATTCGTTCAATGACAATGGCTTTGCCTTTATTGGTGAGCCACCTTGAAGGTCCATAAAGCTACATATCAAGGATCGGGTCTGGAGGTGATCCGTCATTTTCTCCATTTGTGGTTGTTGTGGTGGTGCCAAAGGCAGGTGACGCGTGTTGGTGTCAAGCTTAGAGGATTCTTCAGTCTTGTTTGTAATTTTACTTCTTGGCGGGTGTTCCTGTGTGCAAAGGCTAACAGTCTGTTGTCTGGCGGGTGTTACTGTGTGCAAAGGCTAACGTTTTGTTGTCTTTTCAGTTTTGTCAGGTCGGTATATATGTGGCTTGTACTATGATCCTTATGGTATAAATGAGACACGTATTATCATGCAAAAGAAGGCAACTCCAACACACGACCTTAAATGGACGTCCGCTTCGTTCGGATTTCGTCCGTTTGGGCAGAAAAACGGACACGCTCGTCCGCTTGCGATCGTGCGGCCGTCAGTGCACCCAACCGGCCCGCCACATCCCAAACCGTCTGTGTTTTTGGACTTCGGTTTTGGCCCCCAAAAAACCCAAATAAACATTGCAAAAAATATAAAAACACAAATATAAACATTAAAATGTCCGCACGTTCGCGAAGAGATGTCAATTGTTGGGGAGGTGGGCATCTCCCCACGGGAGTGGCGTCGCCGTCTGCCAGTAGCGCCGATGGAAGTCGGCGGAGACGTACGACCTGTTGTGTTGTGGGGATGCCGGCGGCGGGATGTCAAAAGCGGGGCGGAGCTGGTGGTGCGGGCGGCGCGGACCTGGTGGAACAACGACGACTGGAGGAGGAGTCGACCTCATGGTGCTTCCCCTTGCTGATCCAATGCCAACCCATGGCGCCGGCGACGGCTAGGGTTTGCTAGCTCGTGTCGGGGGTCGAGGAGGTAGGCCAGCTAGGAAGTGGAAGCTGTGGACAGGCCAAACCATGGCTTCCACATTAAGAAGGATGACCCACCTGTTGGGTGGCTGACCCGGGGCCCGCCACGCGCGTGCATTCATTTTGGGTGGTGGAGGTAGGTGAACGGCCGCCATGCGACCCCGAGGCAGACGAGGAGCAAGCGCGTGCCGGTTCCTTCGACGTTCGTGTCGACGCAAACAGGGCGCAGCTTTGCGCCGGAAATGGGGCGGGCCAGATGCCAAATGGACAAAAAATGCGGATGCAGTCGTGCATTGGGTCATGTCATCTGTCCGTTTGGGTCCAAACGGACATTCGCGGACCGGATGGGGACGTGCCGACCCAAACGAACGCACATTTTGTCCGTTTTTGGTCCGTTTGGGTCGGGCGCCCACTCGATGTCCACCCTTTTCATTTGGGTCAGCGTGTGCCCAACACACCGACCCATTTTCTCCCTCGCGGCCAGCCTGTCGTGGTTTTTCAAACAAAATACAAACATTTTACATGGTTTCACAACCAAACAAATATATCATAGTTCACAAACCAAATAATTATGTCACAGTTTACAAGCCAAATAAAATTTAAGTTGTCTCAAATATATTTAAAAAAAGATACATCTATTGATTACCAACATGAGCCCACATATGCTCAATGAAATCATTTTGCAGCTGGATGTGAGTTTCCCAATTACGCATCCCATAAGATACATACCGGGAGAACCCCAGCCTCCTCAGAGTTTAGCGATTCCTGGCCATCGGATCTGGTTCTTGATGCCTTTTTGACCGTTCGATCACAAGATGGAGGGATCTGGGATGTTGGATCGAAAAGAGACACTGTGGATCGAAACAGTCCGCCATCCGACGGAAATATCGCGTACCACCGCCTGTGAATTCGGTGCCCCACGAGGGCAGTATTGGGATTTTGCGTCTGCCTTGTTGGCGTGTCAGGCGTTGGTTGGTTCGGGAGTGGATGGGGTGAAGGCGGCTCACCCTGTGCATTTTAAAACCGAATTGAAAAACCATACCGACAATAAACCGAACCGAAAATGTTTTACTTTTTTATGGTTTCGATATGGTATGAACTCTTCGTACCATTTTGTTTTCATGATATATACCAAAAAACCAAATGGTTTATTGAATAAACTGAAATATTTATATATCTTGGGGCGAACAACCATACAAGTAGTCATTTTTTGTACTTCCTGTTAAGCGCATCCATTTTTCTTGTAACGTAGTCATACTTCTCTTCAAGAGAATGTTAAGCATGTCCATAACCATCGAATCCATGCATGCATATACACTCGCATATAATTATATTTTTTGTGTAAAAAGATATGTGTTCTGAGTCATAAATTTGCAAAGTATTATATGTCATTTTCAAATTCGCGTCAACCTTGGTTTTTACAGTACATACCGAAATAATTTGGTATATACCGAGAACGAACCGTATCTAAATTTCATATCTTATTTACCGAAGTATTAGTACCATACAAACTGATAAACCATATATACCGAACCATGTAAACCGAATAAACCGAACGCACAGAGTGAAAGGCGCATGTCTTCCTTCCTCCCGGTCCTCACTCCATCCTTTCTCTTCCTCCTCTCGCCCCCTCACGCCGCCACCTTCGTGCCCTCACCTCCCGTGCCCCACCCTTCCCGCTATGTTTCTTCTGTCCTTCATCGACCGCGAAGCTCTAATGGCGGGCCTCCTCCTTCGACCCCCGCTATGCCTTCTGGAGGAGGAGGAGGCGGCTCCCTTACTGCTTTCTCTCCCACCTCCACCTGCTCCTATGATGCCACCAAATCAGTGTTTGCTACTCTATCACCGCCTCAGCAGCTGCTCCTGCCCCCTGTCCCAGTGAAGCCGCAGGAGGGAGCTACTGAAACGAGGGTGCCCCCGCAGCCAAACCCCCATTTGTTGGGGAACGTAGTAATTTAAAAAAATTCCTACGCACACGCAAGATCATGGTGATGCATAGCAACGAGACGGGAGAGTATGTCCACGTACCCTCGTAGACCGAAAGCGGAAGCGTTATAACAACGCGGTTGATGTAGTCGTACGTCTTCACGGCCCGACCGATCAAGCACCGAAACTACGGCACCTCCGAGTTCTAGCACACGTTCAGCTTGATGACAATCTCCGGACTCCGATCCAACAAAGTGTCGGGGAAGAGTTCCGTTAGCACGATGGCGTGGTGACGATCTTGATGTTCTACTGTCGCAGGGCTTCGCCTAAGCACCGCTACAATATTATCGAGGACTATGGTGGAGGGGGCACCGCACACGGCTAAGAGATCTCAAGGATCAATTGTTGTGTCTTTGGGGTGCCCCCCGCCCCCGTATATAAAGGAGCAGGGGGGTGCGGCCGGCCAGGAGGAGGGCGCGCCAGGAGGAGTCCTACTCCCATCGGGAGTAGGACTCCCCCCCTTTTCCATGTTGGACTAGGACTTGGGGGGGGGGAGGAAAGAGAGAGGGGAAAGGAAAGGGGGGCGCCGCCCCCCCTCCTTGTCCAATTCGGACTTGGGGGAGAGGGGCGCGCGGCTGCCCCTTGGCCTCCTCTCCTCTTCCTCCATTAGGCCCATTAAGGCCCATTAAGTTACCGGGGGGTTCCGGTAACCTCCAGGTACTCCGGTAAAATGCCGATTTCACCCGGAACACTTCCGATGTCCAAACATAGACTTCCAATATATCAATCTTCATGTCTCGACCATTTCGAGACTCCTCGTCATGTCCGTGATCACATCCAGGACTCCGAACAACCTTCGGTACATCAAAACATATAAGCTCATAATGAAACTGTCATCGCAACTTTAAGCGTGCGGACCCTACGGGTTCGAGAA